ATGATAATCATCATATTGCACAAACGCGTGATATGCATGCTTTTGTTACACTAAAGTACAAATATAGACACGCGTGCGGACAGTCAAAATTACATTTTTGATGCATCAATATATCTAATGAATTAATCAAGAACATGTGATGCATCAAAAACGGAACTTTTATCACCATGACTAAACATTAAATGAATTGATTGATTGAACTTGGGCATTGAAAGTTTATTAAGTCTCAATACTTATTTGGAATTTTTAATGTTTAAAGTCCAATATGTAAATATCCAATAAAATATAATATATATTAGATTAAAGCACTAATTTAAAGACATTATTTTTATTTGGTATATTAGGCTTAGACTATACCTATTCCATCTATTGATTTATTTCTTATCACCAATTATTAATTACCATATTATTTTTTATACCAAGAATGAAATACGTCTTTATTCATACACGGACCTAAGATATGCCTGAATGCTAATAACATTCAAATTGTTTAAAACGAAAAATGTCACTCGTGCGGTGGTTATAGTAGCTACGTTTAGTATTTGATATAGTAATAATCTCGTTATTCACTGTACTTCTGATCGAATCCAGGATATATAAATATATGCTATTTAATAGGCTAATTAACACATTTAGATGAAATTATCAGTATTATTAAAAAAATGATCAAGTTAATCCATATTGGATTTTGACTTGATTAACTAAACTTAAATATTCATCACTATCCGAATTAGTTTGCTTTGATAACCAATTTTTAAATCCGATATGAATAGGGCACTGACGTGAATATTGACTCTTGATCATGGATATTCCGCTAAGTATTTTTTCACGTGTATCAAAATCGATTTCCTTATCATTGCCCATATCATCGAATAATGTATCCTGAAGTAAATTGCACCAGATTTCGATGACATACTCAAATGGAGAAACAATATCATGATGAGTTTGATCGAAAAGATTAAACTTGTTATGAACAATATTGAACATATTCGGATCTATAAAATCGGCAACGAATACGGCACATTTTGCACGGAAATCATTATTGTCTAATTTTTGGTATACAGTTGCCAACCGTGACAATCCTTGATTATCATTGATAGACTGTATTGACTCTTTGTTACCACGAACTACACTGGATAAAGCGTATAAAAGACGAGAAGAAACTTTTATATCTGTTTCAGAAGACAGTAAGTCTAGAAGGTAAGGTATGAGATCCAATTTTAATGCTTCATCCTGAGCTAATGGATTGTTCTAGTTATGAACAATTTTTATTTGTAATCAGTAAACATGTATTTAATAGGTTAATAAACTTAAAAGAATAATAGTTCATTACCTGCACGGTAGTACCAATTACCAAA